TGGACTTGAGAATTTATTTACATAAAAAAAGGATTTTACAAATGGAGCACGACGTAACAATATATACAGCCAGTGATTTGTTGTTGTTGGTGCCTTTTGTCATTATTATAAGCGACTGAACGATCCCTTTTTTTTTTTCCTATGCTACTTGAAAGCCAATGTTGCCTTGGTGACAGCTGATGAGGGCTGCAACGGGGGCTGTTGCTGTCTCTGGGTTGTGGATGGGGGGTGTTTTTATTGAGAGCTCAGCTCTATATCTGTTACACACATTGGGCCGGGCCAATGACCATAAATCTGTAGACAGGCAACCAGAAATAAAGATGAGAAAAATTTGTTGGCCTAACAACATTTGGTGGCACCCAATTGAAATGCTACTCAGTTTTGCAGCAAGTTCATTTAAAATTGTTGTCAAGGATTGGTTGGTCTGAGCGAGCGGCGGGCGGGGGCGCGCTGGGGAAAAGGTAGAGCACAAGAGGCAGGGGAGGAGGCAGAAACAAAGTCGCGCGCACTAAGCAGCAAATCCTTTCATCCGATTTAAGTAAATGCAAACAAAATAAGTAAATAGCAAGAAGCAACAAACCATCCACGCGACTGCCCCTCCCTTGGAGCTTAGCGCCTTGCAGGCGCGCCTTCAGGCAGCGCACCTCCTCCACCAACACGCCCCTCGCCAAGACCCTGCACTCCACGACAGGAACCCCTCTCGACAGACACTTGGGCGAGCTTGTTAAAACTTTAAGTCCGTTTTACTTAACTTGGCTCCTTTAGCTGACAGTTGTAACTGTTTCTGTTTTGCCGTGCTTTCAACTCGATCTCTCTTCCTTTCACTCGCATACTCTATCGCTTTCTTTAAGTTTGTTAATTTTTAAATGTTTTGTTTAAAGCCTTTAACCATTTAACACATTTGACTTTCTTTTTTTTTTTAATGTTCACGTTATTTTTTTTAATTTCTGTCATTGACAGCATCTCTAATTGACTTGCTTTGTTTCTACATATACCACGCACTCTTTCACACTCACTGTTGCTGTCTCTGTTGCGCTGACAAGCCCGTTAATTAGTCAACTTGCTTAGGCACTTTTGCTATTGACACTTGATCAAATGGTTTTAATTTCAGCTTAACGCAATCTATTTTTTGATTATTATTTTTAATTGATTTTTTATGCACTTAAGTGAAGCAATGCTCGGTGATCGAACAATTAAAGTAGTCCATTTTCATTTCAATTACTTTATTTTTTTAATCTATTTTGGTTTAATAATGCGCGTTTTAGTTATTTGATCTGAGTTAAATTTCAAGATTAGGTACGAGATTTGTATTAGGAATAATATAGAAAATAAAAGGAAATTCGAAATTTATTTTTATAAATTATTATCCTGATCGGTTCTGGCAATATTTTCACATCCAAGCCAAGAAATATAAAACTCCTCTATTTGTAAATTATTTTTATTAATATATAAATAAAAACAAATTTGATCTGATCCGAAAAATAAAACTTCCAGCTTAAGAGCATAAAAATTTCTTCCATTGTAAGCTTTAATAATCAAAAACTTCATATTTTAAAAAGTATTTACAATTCACTCTTTAATAATTTGTTCCCCATGGTTTATAACTCTTTCTCTACTCTGCAAACACACAGAAACTAATTGAAAGACAAATTGGCAGCTTCTGAAAAAACACACACACACATACATATATACACACTCACTTAGCCACAACAATTACTCAACTCACAACTCTCAACAAGAGCTCTCGAAATGGCCGCAATATTAAATGCTTAAAGCTACCCCAGAGGAGGCTCAAACCCCAGCGCCCGTCCAGAGGCTGGCACACTTGACAAAGAACGAATATAAAGTTGCCATGGTCTATGCGATATTTTGCGTAGCTCGGCATAATTTCAAATTAGTGCACTCAATGGCAATGGTTTTGCAGGTTTTCTAGTTTTCCACAGCTTTGCTGGTTTTATGCATTTCGACCGGCATATATTTACATAGCCGGCGCATGCTGTCGGCCAAAATGCAAAAATGCTGCGAACGGGGCCCAGAAACAACTGCTTCTCTGGCTGCAGTGAATATGTGGACCAAGGCCCAGTAGCATCAATTTCTGCAAATGCAGCTCAAAACAAATCGGAATGCATAGGGTTTGCACAGCTTGACAGCGAGATGCCCTTTATCAATGGATTCATTTATAACCTTTGATCTTGTCAAGCGAGTATTATAAAGTGTGTGTACCCACAATCAAAACTCGAATCCTTTAATTCGAGTTTAAAAAAGCTTTCATAAAACTATCTATATGGTATACGCGTACATATCAGATTTATTGCTGTTAAAGTCTTTGATTTGATTTTAAAAAACTATTCAAAGGAATTATTACCCTTACGATATCTTTTGCAGGGTATACAAATGCCAAAGCCCGGCCAGCCCAGTTGACTGGGGCGAGTAATGCAGCTGCTGAATGCTGCATGCAACTGGATGCGTGTTTTGCGGCTTAACAGCAACTGCAACGGTCAGCGCAAGTGGTCGCCAAGGGGTATTGAGGGTGATGTGCTGGTTAGTCTGCCAGCTATGAGCAACGGGCATTAAAGTGCTGCATAAGCTGAGGCGCACGCACGCCTCGCTGCATAATAGGTAAAAACGTTGGCAAAAATCCAGGCAAAAATGTAGAAAAAAATCCGGGAAGCTTTGAAAAAAAACCATATATATATGTGTATGTATATGGAGGAAAAATGTGGAATTGCTTTGACATTTTAACATTGTAGTAGCAAGTTGTGTCGCCTGGGCGGTCGTCAAATTTGTTGCTGCTGCTGCTGCTGTTGCCCCTGAAATGGCGAGGGCGTAAAATTGCCGTAACATGACAGCGAACAACTTGGCGAAGGTAACTCAAAACGCGCTGCGAACACGCAAGGCCAGAGACCATCTACCCGAACACAGCCAAAAAATTGACCCACCAACCCACTAAACCACCAAGACCCACCAAGAAACCCACTCGGGCGAACTCAAAACCATTTCCAAAGTATTTGCCTAATGTACTCGCTGCTCGCTTGTTGGTGTTGACTTAAGCGCACACACACCTACACCCACAGCCACACACAGTTTGGTTGTGTGCGGGGTCTGGGCAACGTTTATCAGTGCGCGCTAGAAGAAAGTTTTTCATAATGTGTGGAAAAGAACTTGCGCCAGCCCAAAAGAAAAACTGTCAACTTGACACAGGCGGTGTCCTTTTTTTCTTGTCTTCCCTATAGTATATATGTGCTTGTTGGGGTATATTAGCTATTTATGGAAGCAGGTAAAAAATAGTCAAGATACTTTTGGGATATAATATATAATAATTTACGACAGATAGTTCTGATAAGGCAACCAAATCTATTAGATTAAAAATATTGCTTCGATCTGATTTAGAATTCCCATCATGTTTTAGCTTAGAAAAGGTCAAATAGCGTAACAAAAGAATGTTTAAAGGCCATCAGATTCGAGGAAAATAACAATTGAATAAACTATTAATAGCATGTTATGCGTCATTTATTTTATAATTCTCAACTAGTGTTAGCTTAAAGCAACTTATGTAGCATAACAATCACTTCCTTTAGGGAATATTGGATATACTAGTTCCAGCTGAAACATTATCTATGCAATGTTTATGTTATGCTAGATTTGGTTTTTAATTCTTAACTGTTTTGTTTTTTAAAACAACTTATGTAGCATAACAGTCGCTCATGGTAAGTAAGTAAGTAAGTTCTTGTTATGCACTTCCTTCAGGGCATTAAATATTCGTTATTGTACACAATTTGCCAGCTCATATTTCTTGTTGTTCTCATTCTTTTTTTTTTTGTTGTTGCTTGCAGCTTTGCCTACATTATTTATGCATTTTTCTTTCGGTGGCTGCTGCTGCTGTTGGCTTTTAATAGTTGTGTCTGCGGCATTGTGCGAGTATGTGCAACGGTGTGTGTGTGTGTGCGTTTGCCTGTGAGTGTGTGTGCGTGTGCGCGTGTTTACCACATTGAAAAGTTTTCTTTGCAAAGTGCTTGGTACATGCGAGCGCGCAAATATGCCAAAAAATATGCTACACAAAAATCGCTCAAGTGCAAAGTTTTAACAATTGGAAAGTTTGCATCCTGGGCGCAGTCTGTCGAAGAAAAACCAGAGCCAGAGGTAGCTCCCTGTGCTCCAATCCAACACCTCCCAATACACCCCCCAACCCCCTCGATGCTCGACACCCTACTTCAGTCAAGTACTTAGTTAGAGCGTCAAACACAAAATGCAAACCAAGAGGCGGACGGGGTGGGGAAAGGCAAGGGGGTTGACATGTGCTTTAAGTGCTGGTCACATAACTGCGAAGTGAAGCTGACAAAAAATAAACTTGTCCTCAATTTGTGTGCATGGCACCAAAGTGTTGAAAAACGTTTGACAACAAGTGAAATATGAAGTTGAGTGCGAAAAAAAAATATTTATATATATATATAAAGCCTAAAATGAACAATCTGAAGAGGAAAAGTTGACTTTAGATTAGAATGTTAATAAACGGAAAATGTTTAAAGAACTTTTAGATATATTTTCTTTGTTTTGCTAGCTGGCGAAATATAAAAGAACATAAGCTTGAGGATATACTTAAAGAAAAAACTATGAACGTATCTGAACTCAGTGGAAATACTGAGTCTATTGATTTTTCTGGGGTTGTATAAATCAGGTTGAAAATTATTTATAAAGCAGCAGTAGTTCGCAAACAATTACAATCATTTTTAAAAAATCAAGCCTGAAAGTTGAAAATTGTTAACAATAAGTCAGCCTAGCCTCAAACTATATATAATTGAAAATGAATTTTATTAAAGGCAAATGTATATAACACACTTTTGCATATATGTCAACTTCTTGTATAAATCTTATGTCATAATCAAAGTGTTTCGTTGATTTCAAAATATCTTGGTTGAATATAAATGTGATTGAGTTGATTTAACAAGCATTCCATTAAATTTTCAATTTCTAATATATTTTGATTTTGTTTCTTTCTGCAGCTTTAACAAATGGCCAAAAAGCGAACTTTAAAGACTTCAAAGTGCTTGGAAAAATTGCGTCGAATAAATCAAGTAAAATAAATATAAATGCACATTGCCTTTAAATAGTTGACTCGACTGGCGCAAAGTTCGAACTCGAGCCAAAGCAAATATGGCAACAAAGAGATATTAGATAGAGTAAGAGAGCAAGAAAAGGGAGCGAGAGAGGATGGAAGAGAGAGAGAGGGGGGTAGAGGGTAGAAACGAGTACGAGTAGCAAAAACAAACTTTTGCTAGTTTTGCATTGCCTTGCAAGTGGCAAAGTGGCGCCACCTGGCGACCCAATGAGGTGTGAAGATGAACAGTCGCAAGTATCTAAAGGCGTTATTGTTGCACTCACACACACACACAAACAGGTACAACTAAAGCAAATACAAGTGTCGCACCAAAGCAAAAACCAAATCAAATGCGCTGCAATCTCTATGGGTGTGTGTGCGAGTGTGTTTTTGTGGTCGGGTCTTCGCCTAGCAGCTGCTGCCCGTCCCTCCACACCTGCCTCTACCCAAACCCCTTGCCACTTCTCGTTGTCCTCGCACCGAGTGCTGCCTGTTGCCTGGCGCTTGGTCTACACCTTTGTGGAAATCCAACAATGTCAACTATGCAACACAAAAGCGACAATGCCGTCGCTTTGTCTGACTGCCAAAGTGCAGGGGCAGCCGTGAGGGGCAGGTTCTGGGGTGGGGAGGTAGTGTGGCAAGTGCGGCTCTTGTTGCTGACTCTGCTCTGCTGTTGTTGGTTATTTTGTTTTCTTTCACTTTTTTATATGTGCCATACAAAAATAGCTCACTTTGCGGACGGCATTTCTCATTCTCAGTCTCGTTTCACGCTATTCTCTCGGTGCGGAACAGCCCCCCAACCCCCTCACTATCCACCCTTTTAGCCAACTGTTTCATGTTGCTTTTTTATGCCCGCAATTTGCATTGCCTGCTTTGTCGACGTCTTTTGCACTTTTGCTTTTGCCTCGTGCAGCTGCTTTAAGCGAAACGCGAGTAAAAACTACACAAAAAATACACAAAAATAATGACATTAAAATGCGCATTATATTAAAACCCGATGCCCGATTTGCTGCTAGCCAAGCATCGACATGCCCCAATGGGGGGCGCCGCACGTGCCGCTTGAACCTTAACCCCTTGGCGTGTGCTCACACGACATGCAAACGGAAACGAACAACAACCAGCAACAACTAACAACAACAACAACGAGTCTGTTGCCTGGCAAACTACTTCAGTTTTATGAGGCTACCCGCTGCGACTCCTAAGCCCCTCCGCCCTTCCTGCTCTGCCATCAATTGACAATTATGAGGCCACGCCCATTGCCGTGCTCATAAATTTTGTAATTATTCCCCTGCGTGCTCCCCAAAACAACAACAAAGCCACACGAGAAAAAATGAACACACACGCATCATGAAAAGCAGCCCCTACAATAAGAGAGAGTGAGAAAGACAGAGAGAAACAGAGAGAGAGGCAGTTCTGTTGGGCTTTGAAAATTTTGGAAATAAGCATATGGTATATGATGATGGCATATGTGAGATATGGGATATGGCGTGATGAAAACAAAAGGACTTTAAAGAGTTCATATTTTGAGCTGAGCTTTATTGGGCATCGAGTTTCTAGCAAATTACTCTAGAAAAGAGTGAAGTAAAGATTTATGTGCTATACTCATGACTTACCAAAGGCACAACTAATATTCATAGCTAGACGATGTAAGGTATATGAACTATGTAATAGAATTTCGGATGGCAAGCCCGCAGCACGCAATTGCGCTTTAACCAGTTGGGAATTATAAGCGTTTAGTCTGAAAAATTTAATGCGTGTGCAAATCTCTTCCTACTCCAAGTAATCAGTAGCTCCTATTCAGATTCATTTAGTTAGCTTTTAAATTTTGATTACACATTTTATTCTTGATGCAGAACATTGACCGTGAATGCCTCGAGGTTCGTCTATCGTCTAACTAATCTAATTTTATAACAGACTCTTCAAATTAGAATCTACTCAGAAAAAAAATTTAAAAACTATGCCATATGCTAGTGAATTTAATTAAATATTCCCCAGAAAAGAATTATATAATGTTATCATATATAAATATATAAAAAAGTAATTAATTACTTAATTATTTATATTTATTAATTAATATAGATGTGCATATAATAGTATGCCATATTTTATTGAAATTGGCTTCAACATTCAATTCTTAGTTTCCGAAAAGCTAGTTACTTATTCCTATTAACAATAAAAAAAAGAAAATCCATAAAACTGAAAAGAGAATTATGTACAAAACTCCATAACAATTGGCAAAGTTCCTGAAAAAAACAAAAAACAAACACAGCCGCACCCCGTAACCTTGTCGAGAAACGGAAATAAATGAAATTTATTGTCACGCACACGTCTACAGAAAGGAAATTTTTGTCTGGGTACTTCGTAAGGGAATGCAATTAAAATTTCATGTACTTATTGCTGCCTGCGCACCTTAATTGATTAATATAAGGCCCCGCCCGACCTCTGAACCTTAACAAAATACCAAAAAATAAAAATATAACGAATTTCTGGTAAAAGGGCCAAACAAATTAATTAAAAAATGCGTTGTCTGCTTTTAGGCGGCATCTTGTGAGGCGCAACCAGTCGGCCGTTTCGGGGCGCCGTCTTAGCCATAACGCTGGATGCTAACAAAAATAAATAAATTGTACTTAAAGGGGCTTCCGAGTCGCCGCAGTGCAGCCATAAACATTAATTAAAACTTTTGACCCTTGCCCGGGCTGAGGGGGCACCGGCGGCAGCTGCTGCTGCTGCTGCTGCTGAGGGGCTGCTCATCAGCTGCAATATTCATGTGCAGACCAGCAACTGCAGCAACAACAACATCAGCGTGAACAACCTGCAAACTAGTACAATAAAATGCACTCAAAATTGTTGCCCCAAGTGGGGGAGGGGATTGGTGGAGAGGGCAAGCTGTACGCTAAACGGCGGCCGGTGCGGCCTCAGTGGCCTTATTTGTACGTACCGCTCGAAAAATTACGAGTTAAGCACTTTTTGCCCACGGCACAACACACACTCAAACACACACACACGAACATACACACATATGTGAGCCATGAATCATTTAGCACTCACACACACTGGCTGGCCTGTACGCGAGGCGAAGCGCGCGCAAACTTTTCGCTTTTTAAATGAAAACTGCGCGAGGATTTCCCTTTTTGCCCTGTAAAAGGTCGTGGCAAAAGGGCATGCAAAGGGCAACAATTTGATGAACCGAAATAAGTGAACCAAAATCAGAACTTTATACGAAAAATCACAATTCGGATATAACCCAATTAATCAATTAATCAAATAAACTGGTTCATTTGGTAATCAATATTATTTAATTTGCTTAAGGAAGCTGTGAATCAAATATTTCAATATTATTCATTTCGCTATTAGAAGAGTTTAGAATGGAACTATTGTGAATATAAATTGGTTCATTAACTAAGGCATCTTAGCACATTTCCTCCCTTTACCAGAACATTCGCTAGGTATAAATGTATAGATTTATCAAAAATTAAAACTTTCAGACTTAAATCAATTATATGATCCGGATTATAATTAAACAATTTTATTAAAATACTGTCTGTGAATTGACTTTGCTCATTCGAACTAGTTCAATAAGTTATGGCACTAAATATCTTCCAACTAATAAAACACACTAATAAACATTAGCTTACAGGGTATTTATCTAGTGCATTATTGAAAGAAAGACTCTAAAGCTTAAAATCTCGCATATGAAGCTCATTTAATTACTGATTTTTGCAAATTCCACTTTTTGCACTTTGACATGCTACCACAGAAAACTTTATGATAAATTGCAGGGTATTTCTCTAGTTCATTCACTTTCATAAACATTTTTTAGTACTTTTTTTCTTTGGCCATTGCCGAAATTTGTTCGCTACAAGCAAAATATGACACGGACATATGGCGCTGCCCAGCAAAATGTGTGTTCGGCTCAGTGTGTGGTGTGTGTATGTGTGTGTGAGTGAATGTGGCATACTTTTTGGGCGTCAGCTCGGTTAGATGGAAACAAACAAATAGACAAAAGTGGCAAACACACACACACACAGAGATAGAGACACAGTCAAACACACTCATCTGGCTGCCAAGGAAACTCAATTGAAGAGAAAGCCCGGCGAGCCAGCGAAGCATTAAATTAACATTTTTTCTAATTAAACTGGCAGCAAGTGGTATGCAAAAAAAAAAAAAATAAAATAAAAAAAACAAGTGTGCAGCACAATGCGTTGCCACAATTTGTGGCACTTAAAAGTGAAGCAGCAAAGATTTGCATAATGTCATTCTGTCTGCGGTGGCATTTGAGCCAGATAAGTGCGACTTTAAGCGACGAGATTTCAGCTGGGAATTTTAATGTTTGAAGCAAAAAAAGGGGTTCAACAACTTAAAAGAACTGATTTTTTCTCGAAGCGAAGCTAAGTTGAACATTTTTAAAGAACATAGCTCAAAGCTGACCCACTAATTAAGTGTGTGCTTGAGGGATCCGATAACTTGTTCCAAATATATATTTAAATACTTTGTAGTATGTAATATTTAACTCTTAAGATTGCTTGAACATATTTGTAAAATTATGCTTAATATAAAATTTTATAATAAAGAACAAAAGACATATGATTACCTACAAGGTCCACATTGGAACGGAAGGGAAGTGGAACATGTTTTGCTATTCTGGGGGCTATACATAGGAAATTGCAGCTAATATAATATACGTATGCGCACAAATTGGTAATTGGAACACTCGTAGACCAAAATGTCAAACGATTTATATAAAAGTTCGCTTACATTAAAACTTCTATTTGAATTGAACTGTGCTTTCGATGCTGACTGCTCAACTTTTTAGCAGGATTCAATGCCAGCCCCTGGAGACCACGCCCAGCCATTGCCTCATGCCTCGGACAGTTAAGGCAAATGAGACACGCAAATGCGAATGCGTTTTATTAATGCCATCATATCATTAGATCAACAAACATGCCCATATAAGAAGTACTTGAACACGCTCTTAACTGCCCGCCTCCCCCTCCGAATGCTCAACAATAATAATGTTTTGGCATTTATCACACTTTTTTTTCTCTCGCCCGTTTGTGGCAAAGTGACCAAGCAAAGTGGCTCTAAAATTTCAGTGGCATCAACAAACAG